AGGTAACCGCCGGGACCTCTTAGAGCTCTTTTGTTACTCAGCGCTCAAAACACAAGGAAAATTCAAAAGCGAGGGCCAGAAAATTCGGGAAAAAACGTTGCATACGAATAGATTTGCGGACCTGGCTCGAGCAGCGGGCACAGCTCGAGTAGCAGACCGAGTTCAGCCTTTCGATGCAACAGACGAACGTGCCTGGTAATACCAAATGAGTTCATGTGCGTACCAGCCTTGTAGCTCGCAGAACTATTTGTATTGTTCGAGTGATCTTGAGAGGTGTTGTCGATTTTCGCACGTAACTCGGGCTGCAAGAGAGCTACGGAGCTCGTGCGCATAGAAAACGATCCAGTATAAGGGGCGTTCGGCTGTTGCATCGAGAGGTCTGAAATCGTTTAGGCTGAAACTATTCTTCTGCAGTTTTTTTCGACATTATATATGGTCAGGAAGCTCTGCGAGTCCCCCGGCGGTAAGAAAGGTTGACGGTTGACCGCCGGCGCCCAGTTCGAACGCAGGATGGAGCTAGTAACTCGTAGAGCTTTCCTTAGCAAGTTGTTGCTGGAAGCTTAAGAGTAATACCTCGGAGAGCTCGTCGGCAAGATGAGCAAGAGGAATTCTGGCGCGGGGTGTAGCTAGTTGGCCGACCCGACCAAAAGAGGAAATGTGGCACATTTGGGTCGGTTTTGCAAAGATTTGAAAGATATTTGACAATTCATTCTGAGAAACCAGATTTTTCGCACCTGTAGTGGGTTATGCCGCGTTTGCTTGTCAAATTCTCAGGTCCGTAGGTGCAGTATTACTATGAAAACACTTGGAGCAACCGACGTTGGATAAAAACAGAAAGACGCGATTTTTCGAGTTTTTCGTTTCTCGCTCCAGAAGCTTCCTTCATGTGTTCCGACGATCGCCGTGCAAGAAAAGAGCTCTACCAGGTTCCCGGCGGTAACCAGGTAACGAATTGTCGGCAGCCGAAGCGCTGCTCAGCGCTGCCCGTGTGTTGCTGCGGGACGGGTCCTCGCCCAGCTGCACCCAGCTGGGAACGCGAGTCCAAACAAACAAAAAACCAGGTTGACGGTTTACCGCCGGTTCCCAGTTTTAAAGTTCGTTTTGGGAACCGGTATTTTTCTCACCTGTAGTGGGTTGTGCCGCGTCTGCCAGTGAAATTCTCAGGTCCGTAGCTGCAATATTGCTATCAAAAGACTTGAGGGAACCGTCGGCCGTTTCGAGCATCTTGGCACGCGTTGACAGTTTTCTGTACTTCTTAAGTTTTAGCAGAGGTACAGAGCTGCTACTTACAGAAACCGATTCAGAAACATCAGGCGCGTTTGTCTGTTCCATCGAGAGGTCTGCACTCAGTCTCGCTACTCAAGCTGGATCCGCGAAACTATTCGTATTATACGAGTGATCTGAGAGGTGCTGTCGGTTCCCCACTTGAATCAACCGACTTTCGGTGAAAGCTGACAAACGCAATTTGTAAAGCTGTTCAGCTCACGCGTAAGAAAGCTTTCCCCATGTATTCCAAGCAGACAAGAGCTCTACAAGGCTCCGGCGGTAGCCTGGTTGACGGTTTACCGCCAGCTTTCAGTTTGTACTTAAATCGAGATTTATGGAAATCCACAGAGATACGTACAGCAGTTGATTCATAATCACCAGGCGCGTTCGTTTGTCCTATCAAGAGGTCTTCCTAATCACCAGGCACGTTCGTCTGTTCTATCAAGAGGTCTGTGCGTGGTCTGCAGCGAGGTGTGATCTCGACAGCTGCTCTCGGTTTCTGTAGTTGACTCGGGCTGTAGGAGAGCTACTGAGCTGGAACGCAGAAAAATCAATTAAGGATCGTCTGTTGCATCGAAAGTTCTGAAGTCGGTCTGCTTCTCGAGCTAGATACGCGAAACAGTTCGTCTTTTTCTGTCATCTTGACTGGTTTTGTTGGGTTTCTGTACTTAACTCGAAATGCAGGGGGGCGGTTACAAAGCTCTGACGCCCACGTAGGCGATCGAGAATGATCAGGCGCGTGCGTCGAAAGCATCTAGACTCTGAAATCAGTCTCCTACTTGAGCTAGGTCCGCCAATCTATTCGTATGCGACAGATTTCTTTTCTAGTCGAATAATGGTGAATATCTTCACCTAACTCGAGCTGCAGATGAGTCTCATAGCTCTTCCGCAGAGAAATCGAAATAACATCGCGAGATGCGCTAGGAACTGAGTTCCGAAACGTGATGTCCGAATTCTCAGCAGAAGGGGGGGTCTCGCGGGGGCGCGGGGATTTCGCGGGGGAATTTGAGCACTGAGCAGTGGGGGGATCGGTTTGTGAGTGCGAAGGCGTCGATCTGTCTGTAACTGTAGGTGTGTGTGTGTGTGTGTGGCAGGCATGTGTGTGTGCGCGCGCGTTTGTGTGTGTGTGTGGGGCCGCGTCTATGTGTGTGTGTGTGTGTGTGCGTGTGCGTGTGGGTGTGTCTGTGTCGTGTCTGTGTTAGTGTCTGTATGCGCGCGCGCGTGCATGTGTGTGTGTGTGTTTGTGTGTGTGTGCGTGCGTGTGCGTACTGAAACTCATACAAGTATGTGTTTATTTTCACATTCGATATATTCACCGTGCGCATTCCAGAGATATGCATGGACTTCTGACACGTGGCTAGGAGCTCTACAAGGTCCCCGGCGGAAATCAGGTTGACGGTTTGCCGCCGGCGCCCAGTTGTCTCATCTGGTCCGGTCGGCCAGCTAGCTCCGCCCCGCGCCTCATCGATTGGAAGCCGGCGGTAAATTGTCAACTAGGTTACCGCCGGGAGCCTCGTAGAGCTCCTCGCACGTTTAAGAGAGTCGAATTGAATCCATCAACTTTCAACAGTATTTATGTGAGAAGCCGAAAATGCCCAACATGATGTCAGATTCCGGAAGTCAGCCCGCGCAACATTCGCGAAATGTGGATTATCGAAATCTAGAATGCTCTAACGTGCTCCGATATGCTCCTGCTCCTGAAAAACTAGCAGTGCAAGCAGATAGCTTCTGCTATGATTTTCTTAAAGGAAATTGCATATTCTTAATGTCAACCCACAGTCGGCCCCTGGCTTCGCGCGGGAGACTTTGCCGACGGAATGAGCTCAGAACTGGCGCCGGCGGTGAACAGTCAACCTTCTCCGCCGGGAACCTCGTAGCGCTCCTTGCGCCAGTAGAAGTGCTCAGAATCGAAATAGAATAATAATTCAAGATTTCCTTAAAATCTTGATGTTTTGGATTTTTTCGATGTTCATATTAGCTCGGTTCCGGGAAGTCAACTCATAGGAAAATACATCAGCAGAGCTGAGCTGCTCTCAGAGTGAAGCTTATATGCAAATGCTCAGCGTGAAAATCTGCTCCTCACAATAAACAGTCAAATATCTCTCAAATCTTTGCAAAACCGATCAAACGTTATGACTTTGTCCGCCTGGGCCGGGTGGTCCAACAGAGCAGATACGCACAAACACTGATTCGATATCATCGTGCGTGTTCGTCTGTTGCATCCAGAGGTCTGAACTGGGTTAGATAGGTCCGCTAAACCATTCGTATTCTTCAAGTTACCTTGGCAGATGTTGTCCCTTTTCTGTCTTGAACTTGTGCTCTAGGATAGCTACGATCGAGAAGCATCAGGGGCGTTCGGCTGTTGCATCGAGAGGTCTCAAATCGCTCGGGCGACAGAAAGACGGCTGATGAAAGGCTTCGAGGGCGTAGATTCATGTAGAAGTTCACTGAGCTTGGGGAGTTCGACCCCCCCGAAAGGAAAGTATTGCAACGACCTCGACGCAGGATGAGAGAACGGGATTTTTATGGGCGTGCACGAAACAAGCGAGGAGGAGATCATCGGCGCTCGGGGCCAAACCTCGCGAGTTTACGCTTGCGACGGTCTTTGTCCACTCTGCGGACAGCCCGACTCGGTCAGGCACCGCGCGTGGCAGTGTCAAGCCCCTGCGGCAGTAGAAGCTCGTGCTGGCGCAGCAGGTGACAGCGGCTTGTGGCCGCTGGAAGCAGCTGACAGTGATTGCAGGAGCTTTTGGGATGACTTGACGTGGATCACCCCGAAACAATATTCTCCCCCCCTAGCAGTGATCCCAGCCCGAAACTGTTTAGCCCCCAGCGAGAAGTGTTAGAGTGGGGCTGTATCGATTTGAGTGGTTGTGATATCTGCGTGGACGGATCGCGTGCGTGGTACTCGATCTGCGAATTCAATTATTATTCCCTGCAGTCGATCATGGCGCGTTCAATGGTGCAATTCTCAGGGCTTCAGCTGGATTATTTCGATGAAAAGAATAGGAGGAACCGACGTTGCATCAAACCTTTAAAAAAACAAATTCTTCAGTTTTCAAGCTCATATTCACAAGCGTTTTTCTCCTGTTATCTGGGAATTGATTCGGTCTCTGCAGAGCTCTACGAGGGCCGCGGCGGTAACCTGGTTAACGGTTTACCGACGGCTCCCAGTTGGTCGACCCGGCCCGGGCGGACAATGTGTCAAGCTGGGGTCGGTTTTTCGGAGATTGTGAGAGATTTTGAAGTTGGTTTCGAGAGCCGGTATTCTTTGCACCTGTAGTGGGTTATGCCGCGCCTGCCAGTGCAATCCTCAGGTCCGTAGCTGCAGTATTACTATCAAAACATTCGAAGCAACCGACTTTGGATACAAACGAGAAAAAAGTGTTTCTTCTTTTTTTTCGAGCTTGCGCTTGAGGAAGCTCCTTGTTTTCCGAGCAGTCAGAAGCGAGAAAAGAGCTCTACGAGGCTCCCGGCGGTAACCTGGTTGACGGTTTACCGCCGGCTTCCAGTTGCTCTCCGGATTATGGACGCTACCAATTAAAAGCCGGACGGTGGTGGTGCCTGCCAGCAGCTCCTCCGCGGCGCTCCACGTTCGTTGCAGCGAGTACCTCGTAGAGCTCTTCGGCAAGATGAGCTGAGAGGAATTCAGGCGTCGGGTGGAGCTAGTTGGCAGATTCGATCTAAAGTAAAAAGAGCTCTACGAGGCTGCCGGCGGTAACCTGGTTACCCACGGCTCAAGAAAATCTCGGCTCAAGGCGCTTGACATTTGATCCCCTCTGCCTGGGTAACCTCCAGTGGGATCGAGTGCGCGTCAGGGAGTCACACGTTTGTCGCCTAGAGTGATATTGCACTGCCATTCATTTGACACGTTTGATCGCCTTGAGTGGTCTTCCGTTGATTTGTTTCACACGTTTGTCGCCTAGAGTGATATTGCGCTGCCATTCATTTGACACGTTTGATCGCCTTGAGTTGTCTTCAATTGATTTGTTTTGCTGGGTGCTCCCGAGGCAGTCTTTGCAATCTTTCGTTATGCCACACGTACGGAGTGCAAGTGCTCGCATTATGCGTCGGGCGATGGCTGTTCAAAACGGATACTGTGTGCATTTACCTATTCGTTTGCCTCTGGATGGTTTGGTGCCACCCACGTGTCTCCCACCACCAGGGCTGGAGCGGGCGACTGCCGATTTGGTTCTAGATTATCTCTCGTTGCGCGATCCACCTGTTGTTAAACGCAGTTTGGAGGAGGAGGAGGAGGAGGATGGCATTCAGACTGTTTCGGAGAATCTTTCTTGCCGTATGCAGGCTTCTGAATCGCTGGTTGATGTAGATATTGGAGTGCAGGCCTCTGAATCGCTGGTTGATGTTGGAGTGCAGACGGTTGATGTTGCGGACTTTCATTGTGAAGTCGGCTGTCAGACAGATAGTGTCGTCGGGATGGAGGGAGGAGCTTCTGGAGTTCTTCTTGGGAATGGGACTGTGGCGGCGGAGGAGGAGCTGGAGGCACCCTCGAGTGCGGAGTCTTCTGCGAACGTGCAGTCTGATTCTGATAGCTGCGCCTTGTCAGGAGCGTCCCAGGGGTGTCTGAATCGTCCCGTCACGCTCAATGAGGCTTCGAAGGAGTCGCGCCAGAGCACTCGAGGGAGAGATCGTGACAAGGTCAAGGGGACATCGACGTGCTCTCAGGCCACCATTGCCGATGTCAAAGCGTGGATTGACGCTGTCGCCAGCATCAACGAGTTGAATGCGATCCAGTATTTAAAGAACGGAATGGATTTGTTTGATAAGCTGGTGACAGAACGTGGGTTCCCTACAAAGAAGGCCCAAAAAGATTATGCTCGTAAACTGTATGAGATGCTCCAGAATGTGCAAGCGACGCTGGAGGATCTTCTAGGATTCTTCGAGGTGCACAGGTTCTTGACAGGACAAATGAACCGCGCCGAGATGGCCAAGTTTCTTGAGGTTTCCAAGTGTAGCGATTACAGAATATTATTCTTCGGACGCCCGAGGAGTTTCGACAAGTTGGGATGAAGCTATTCGTGCGCACTTGTATGCAACTTTCGGTTCAGAACAGCGAAGGCTGTAATGCTTGTTTCGTTTGTGCTCTAAGAATTCAGTGTGTGCATGTTCAGTTCTTGGCCAGGTCTCCTGGCTCTCACGTCGTAACATTATCCTTGCCTTATCAAAGCCAGCTTTGATGGGGGCGTTGTAGCCGCGGAAGTGCCTGTGGTGTGTGTGGATACAGATTGGTCTGCGAAGCGTATATATCTTCTCGCGGACCGACATCATTTTCAAGGATGTGTATCTTGAGGCTTGGTGTCTGCCACCAAGCGCCACTGTTACAGATACGGAACTATCAGCGGCGGAGCGCGTATGCGTTGTGCTCCCACAGGTAGTGCAGACCTTCTTTGATCATTCGCAGGGATAAGTCACACATTGTTTCTTCTTTATCTGTGTTCTTGTTTATTCCAACAGCCTCGCTGTTCACTGACTCATTCGTTTTATCTTTGTGTGCTTTGCGTTTGATTGTGTCATTGCGGCATGCGTTTCTCTTTATTCCTTCAGCTTCGCTGTGTGGTATAAGAGCTGACTGCTTGCGTGATAAATAAGAGGCTCTGTTTCGCCTGATGCTTTGTTGGACCTGGCCTTAGTGGCCAAGACGGTCCCAGCAAAGACGCAAAAAAACCTGGTTGACGGTTTACCGCCGGCTTCAATTGCTTGAACCGGCAGCGGGTGCGGGAGCGCTTCCGGCGCGCGTTCACGCGTGCAGGTTCCCGGAGAGCTCTCTGAGAGCTATGCGGTTTTAGATTAGAAGCCGGACGGTGGTGGTGCCTGCCAGCAGCCCATTCTGCCGCTCCAGAATCGCCGCATCAACTCGTTTGTCCCGGCAGCCCGTCCGGGAGCGGTTCTGGCACGCGTCCACGCGTGCCTGCAAGCGTGCAGGCACGCGTGGAAGCGTGCCTGGCAGCGCTTGAGAAGCGCTTTTGGGGAGCTTCCCAGAGCTCGTCAGGAAAGCTTCTCAGAGTTGCCTCTATGCTCTCCGGGTTTGCTTCCAAGTGGAAGCGTGCCTGGCAGCGCTTCAGAAGCGCTTCAGGAGAGCTCGCCGGGTCTCGTCAGGAATGCTTTTCAGTGTGAGCACCACTTTGCTCTCTGGGCTTGGGACGCTACCAAGTTCCCGGAGAGCTCCTTGAGAGTTATAGGGTTTTAGATTAGAAGCCGGACGGTGCTGGCGTCTGGCAGCAGCCCATCTTCGCCGGTCCACGATCCCCGCAGCGTTGTTCCCGGAGGGCTCTTTGAGGGCTATAGGGTTGAAGATGAATGCCGGACGGTAGTGGTGCCTGCCAGCAGCCCATCTTTGCTGGTCCAGAGCCCCCGCAGGGACTTGTTTGTCCCGGCAGCGGGTCGGGGGGCGCTTCCGGCACGCGTGCACGCGTGCCTGCACGCGTGCAGGCACGCGTGGACGCGTGCCGGAAGCGCTTCAGAAGCGTTTCAGAAGCGCTTCAGGAAAGCTTCCCAGAGCTCGTCAGGAAAGCTTTCCAGAGTGGCCTCTTTGCTCTCCGGGTGTTGGACGCTACGAAGTGCCTTGTAGAGCTTTTCGGCATCGATGAGCTAGAGGAATTCCGGCGCGGGGTGGAGCTAGTTGGCCCGCCCGGCCCGGGCGGACAATGTGGTAACTTTGGGTCGGTTTTGCCAAGATTTGAACGATTTTTGACAATTCATTTTAAGAAACCAGATTTTGCGCACCTGTGGTGGGTTATGCCGCGTCTGCCAGTGCAATTCTTTAGTCCGTAGCTGCAATATTATTATCAAAACACTTGGAGGAACCGACATTGGGAAAAAATGTAAAACGTATTTTTCGAGTTTCTCAGCTCATCCTTGAGAAAGCTTCTTCCATGTGTTCCGAGCAGCGCCGCGCGAGAAAAGAGCTCTACGAGGCTTCTGGCGGTATCCTGGGTGACGGTTTACCGCCACACCCCATTGAAACGGGCGCCGGCGGTGAAGCCGGCAACCTCGTAGAGCACCTTGCACGTGTAAGAGTGCGCAGAATCGAATCAGAGAACTTCGCAGATATTGTATTATAACCTTCATTTTTGCATTTTTCGATGTCAATATAAGGCCGGTCCCGGAAGTCAGCCGATAGTAAAACTGCATCTACATTGCTGAGCTGCTGTCCTGATGCTCAGCTCAAGAATTTGCTGTCTCAATATGACCAGTCAAATATCCATCAAATCTTCAGAAAACCGAGCCCAAGTCACCACATTGGCATTGTCCGTTCCGGTTTAGCGTGCGTGGTGGCGCTGGAAATCTCGCGTGACGGAGCTCTGGAGACGCTGGAAGGCTTCACTGCGAAGCTCTGGATACTCTGGAAAGCTTTCCTGAAGAGCTCTGGGGAGCTTTCCTGAAGCGCCTCTGAAGCACTGCCAGCCACGCTTCCACGCGTGCCTGCACGTGTGCAGGCACGCTTGCACGCGTGCCGGAAGCGCTCCGGAACTCGCTGCGAAGTACCTCGTAGAGCTCTTCGGCAAGATGAGCTGAGAGGAATTTAGGCGCAGGGTGGAGCTAGTCGATCGACCGACCAGAACAGACAATGTGGTGACTTGGGCTCATTTCCTACAGATGTGGTGACTGGTTATATTAAGAAATACCTCGTAGAGCTCTTCGGCAAGATGAGCTAAGAGGAATTCGGGCGCAGGGTGCAGCTAATTGGCTGACCCGACTAAAGAGACAATGTGATGACTTGGGGTCGGTTTTGCTAAGGTTTGAAAGATATTTGATAATGTATTTTGAGGAACCAGAGTTTTCTTACCTGTAGTGGGTTATGTCGCGTCTTTCAGTGCAATTCTCAGGTCCGTAGCTGCGATATTACTATCAAAAGACTTGCAGGAACCAGCTTTGGGAAACAAGCTGGAAAACGTTTTTTTTTTTTTTTTTTTTGGTTGAGTTTCTTGGCTCATCCTCGAGAAAGCTTCTTTCATGTGTTCCGATCAGCGCCGCGCGAGAAGAGAGCTCTACGAGGCTTTCGGCGGTTGCCTGGTTGACGGTGTACCGCCGGATGGCAGTGCATCGTAGAACTCTTCGGCATCGACAAGCTAGTGAAATTCCGGCGCTGGATGGAGCTCTTTTTTTTTTTTTTTTGTTTTTTTTTTTTTTTTTGTTTTTTTTTTTTTTTTTTTTTTTTTTTTTTTTTTTTTTTTTTTTTTTTTTTTTTTTTTTTTTTTTTTCCTCCGCACCTGTAGTGGGTTATGCCGCGTTTGTTTGTGGAGTTCTCAGGTCCGTAGCTGTAGTATTACTATCAAAAGACGTGGAGGAACCGTCGGCCGTCGGGATGCATTTTCCGAAATGATAAGGGTCTCGTGAACTGAACTCCAGCAGAAAGGATGCATACAACTCTTATATTGTCCGCTGATGTAGTTGGGTATGGCGCGCCGCCTCGTAGAAGTCTTAGGTCTGCAGCTAAAATATTTCCATCGGAAAACTTGGCGGAACCAACTGCGTGTAACACCGAGAGAATTGAATTTTCGAGTTTAAGTTGCTATCGAAGTGAGCTTCCTTCTGAGCACTACTTCACGTTTTAAGAGCTCTACGAGGGTCCCGGCGGTAACCTGGTTGACGGTTTACCGCCGGCTCCCAGTTCAGGGCTTCCGACGAGGCTCAATGGGCAGTGTTGAGTCGACTCGGCGTCCTTCGAGTATTGTCCTTGGCCGAGTCGCAAGATGTACCTCGTAGAGCTCTTCGACGAGATGAGCTAAGAGGAATTCGGGCGCTGGGTGGAGCTAGTTGGCCGACCCGGCCAGAACGGACAATGTGATGACCTGGGGTCGGTTTTTCGAAGATAGTGAGAGATTTGAGAATTCGTTTCGAGAACTCAGATTTTTCTTCCCTGAAGTCGATCATGGCGCGTTCGATGGTGCAATTCTCAGGGCTCTAGGTGCAGTATTTCGATTAAAACATTTCCGGGAACCGACGTCGTATCAAATCCCAAACATATAGTTTGCGAATTTTCTATCTGAAATGTGGGCAGTCTCGTTATCTGGGTGCTGATTTGCGTGTTGAGAGCTCTACCAGGGTCCCGGCGGTGACCTGGTTGACGGTTTACCACCGGCTCCCAGTTGCCAAGACCAAGCCGAGAAGCTGATCACCAACTCCCCGACTTTGCAGTCGGCGTCCATGCTGAATTTCGCTATGCTTCTGTTGTCCTTCGTCATGGAGAGGCCAGCGTGGACTGCAAGAGTGCGTTCGGCCAGCCCCGCCCGTTGAAACGTTTGGGTGGGTCGATCTACGTGACTGCCTGCGATGGTCTGGCTGGAGTACATGTTCCCGAGGGCTGCGTGATCGAGTTCATGGTGGCGCCGTGCAGACTGGACGACGCGCCGTGGGATGGTAAGTCGCTCTTTCATCTTTTCTTTCCGACCTGGGATTCCGCCGGCTGTTGCTGGAACAATGCCACTGGATGAGGCGTGAGAAGGATCAACTGGCGGCGCAGGTGCTGATCGAGGTGGACAACCTGTGGCTCGGCTCACTCCCCAGTCGCGCCAAGTGGTTGCCCGAGAGCCTCGAGGGCCGCGGGGGCGAGACCGAATTCGCTGGCAGGCGGGCACAAGGAACGACGCCGCATCCGTATCGACGAGGAGAAGTATATTCTTGAAGGACTCAAGCTTGTGCCTCTCGATCGCGGCCGCAGGTCTCAGACGCAGAGCCCGCTATCTCCTGCTGAGCTCAAAGTGTTCCGCTCAGGGGTATCCCGACTGAGCTGGGTTGCCCAGGAGTCTCGAGATGTCAGGGGCAGCTTCGTTTTGGCAAGCAGTTTGGGCCATGCTATTATCGAGGATGTTCTGGTGCACGACAAGGCAGTGCAGCTCACGAGAGACGCGACAGCTCAGCACCTCACGATTTCGAGGCACGACCCGAATCAGGTGGCGGCCATGACAGCCAGCGATGCCGCTGGCATAGGATCAGAAGGTCTTGTGCAGAAGGCTTGGCTCGCTGGGATTGCAGACCCTCAGCTTGCCACCGGCCAATCCAGTCGTGTCTATGTTTTCCTGGACAAATCGATTTTGGACACCCTTTCGAGAACTGTGCTGGCCGCGAGGGGGATCGACGGACCTCTGTCGATCTAGCTGTCATCAGGGACTTTGTTCTTACTCGCAGTTCCTTTGCCCCGCTGCATCGCCTTTTGAACCCTGCCGACATCGTGGCCAAGGCTGACGTGGCCAACGGTTCCGAGGCTCTTGGTCACTTGCTCATAGTGGGTTCTTGGCTCTGAGCGACGCGGAAGAGGAGCGAGGTGCCCTGGCCGCCGCTGATGCCAATCAGCACCGTAGCAAGGAGGCCCGTCGGCGATGCCTGGTGGCCAGGGATCTCCGTTTGCAGTCGATGAGAAAGTCAGATCGACAGTAATTCCGGGGAGGTGTTGACAGATGTCTCTGCGCCCTCTCTCTCATTCTGTCTGTGTTGCTTGGTCTTGCAATGTGACTGTATACTTGCGTATGCGTGTTGTCCTACAATTGCTGATATGGTTCAAGGCTTTCTGTTTCAAAGTGAAGAGCAGATAGCGCAGACCTTCGCGATTGTCCATCCGACCCTGGCGTGCCAGAAGGAAACGCAAGGCCTGTCACGCCGCTGCCCACGTTCCGCAGGACCTTCTTGTGAGCTTCCTTGCGCGCGTACTGGAAAACGCATGAAAAAGGCCTTTCGGGACACGCTGCATAGTCAAGCAACTCACGCCAGAGGGCCTGGGCGGACGCTGGTACGATGTCTGGGGCTACCCTGCGGCTCCGGATTTTTAAGCTGAAGCCATTTTAGCTCTTTGTGAGCTGTCCAGGAACAGCTGCTGGGCGCGCGTCTTGGAAAACAGCGGGAGAACGCCTTTCCGGACCCGCTCGAACCTCAGGCAGATTGCTCTGGGGATGTCTGCCAACCCGCGGAAACGCTTGCGGGAGACGCTTGCAAGGGCGCTCGGGAGAACTTGCGGGTAAACTTGTGGGGTTCACTTGTGGGGCCCACTTAGCTGGTCGAAAGTCCGGACAGCAGGGCGCCATCTGAAACCATCGTATCTGTCAAAGGATATCCCTACTTGTGGGGCACTTGTGGGGTCCACTTGTGGCGTCCACTTGTACTGTCCCAAACCCGGATAGCGACGCAGTCGACATGCATGAAGCGCTTTCTGGGGCACGCTTAAAAGTGCGTTTGGAAGAATACATGGGGAGCTTGCAAGCTTGGAACTTGGAAAATGCTTCGGGGTCCAGAACCCGATGGCAGGGTGCCCGCGCGGCGTGGAAAAGGCCCCGCGAAGAACTTCTGGAAGGGCCTGGAGTGAGTATCCAAAAGGACCTTTTGGAGAGCTTCCGGGCACGCGTATTTTCCCGATAGCTCTTGGAGAGCTGAGATAGTCTCAGATTAAGAAGCCAGAGGTAGCCCCGGAGATCGTTCCGGCCTCCGTGAAAACACTTCGGCGCAAGCTGTTTGAACTTGCGGGGTCCAATCTTATGGGGTGCAAGGCCCGCGTGGCAGGGCGCCCGAAGGGCGTAGAAAAGCCTGTCGAAGCACTTTGGAATTTCCCGGGGAGAGCTTCCGAGGGACCTTAAGGAGAGCTTCCGGGCACGCGTATGGGGAAACGGTCAGAAAACAAATTCTCGAGGCACGCTTCTGGTTCCGACAACTCGCGCCGAGACTTTTTCACGGGAGTCGGAACGATCTCTGGGGCTGCCCTGCGGCCCCGGCTTCTTAATCTGGAGCCCTCCTAGCACTTCAAGGAGTTTTCCATCCGGGAAAACCTAGAGCAGGGCGTTCGAAGGGCGTGGAAAGGCCTGGCGAAGAACTCTTTGAAGGACTTCCGGAGGACCTTCCGGAGAGCTTCCCGGCAGGCGCATTGGGAAATGCTGAGAAAAGCCTTCTAGGGACACGTTGCAAGTTCCGGGAGGTTTCTCTCGGGATTTTCCCAGAAGTCGGAACGACCTCAGGGGCTGCCCTGCGGCTCCGAGTTCTTGATCTGAAACGTGCAGCGTGTGTGGCAGCTGCCCAGGCATGTGTTCCAGCGTCCTGGTAAGCGCTTCGCACAGGCATCCGCCCCGTCATCCGTTTCAGCGTCCCGTGCGGAATGTACGCGTCGTGCCCCTTTGATCAAGTTTTTGGCGCTACATCCGCGTTCTATGGTCTTTTGTCGAGGGTGCTGGTGGGGGGGCTCGGTGTCCTTGGTCAGCAACTAGTCGAACAATAGAGTGGTTGTTGATTCACGGCGAGCTGTGATACAAGTTTCCGTGAAGGGAAAATCGGATCCCCTTGAAACCCTTTATCCGCCAAACCCTTAGGGTCAGAGTTTTGTCTTTCATGTGTGATCTTTACGTCGCTGTGGTGCTTATTAGCTTATCTCACTTTTTTGCGTCCTTCTTTCGTATATCGTTAGCTTCCCTTCGACATGACTATTACTCACCTCTCTTCCTGTTTTTGTCCCTGCATGCCAGCGCGGCCCTGTTTTCGGGATCCGGGTCCTTTTTCTGTCGCCCCCCCTCTTTTCCCCTCCTCTTCCTTGTCTTGGTCCCCCTCGTTCCGGTCCTCCTGCTCCTAGTCCTATTGCTGCTGCGGTTCGTCTTTCTCCTCGTTCCCCTTCTCCTCCTCCTCCTCCCTTCTGTCTTCCTCCTCGTCCTCCTCTTCCTCCTCCTCCTCCTCCTCTTCCTCCTCGTCCTCCTTCTCCTCCTTCTCCTCCTCCCCCTTTTTCATCATCGCCCTGTTTCTCCTGGTTGTGCTTGTCCTCTTGATCTCCTCATTCTGCTCCTCCTCCTCCACTTGCACAGCTTTTTGTTGATTGCGCATTACACCTGGGTCATTTAAGTATTCCAGGTCCGCTATGACATTCGTCGGAGAATAGAGAGCAAGTCAGCGCAATGGGAGGGGATGGGTCGGAGGATCGGGTTGGATATGGCGCGAGAGCACGTAGCATGACTATGTTCCTCTCTGTCCAGCCGCGTCCTCGTCCCTTCCATACTCCTCTCTCCCCTCTGGCCTCCTGGTCTTTCCTTGTCCTCTTCCATCCGTCGCTGTCCCTCTTTGCCGCCTGTTCTTCCGTTCTTGCCTTCCTCTTTCTTCCCTTTCCATCTCTTCTGGTCATTCTCCGCCTCTTGCGTGGTTGTCGCCCGATTTGCTGTTGTAATCTTGTTTAGAATTTCTGTCCCGATCGTTGCCCGAGTTGCTGCCCGAAATCTCCGCACGAAACGCCACGTATTCGCATGGGGTAAAGCGGTAAGCAGTGAAATGCCCGAATCGCTTACGATTTCTCTAAAGGGTGTATGTGTAGCTTTGGTGGATTTGTGCATACATGCTGGTTTCATTGACATCTTTTCCATGTTATCTTTTGGCGGGATCTTACTATCCCGCATTTGGGTCCAGCGCGTTGTTGATTCCTCAACCAATAATGGCGGTACTGCGCTTTCGCTGTTGTTTTTCCTACCTCTGGCGTGTTGTCTTTCGCTCCCCCCAGCAACCGTTGTATTTGGCAAAGGACAAGCGTGAAAAAGTGTCACTCGCTTCCTCTCGTGATTGCGCTGGTCCCACTGTGTAGTGTTGACTTTCACGGGTCAGTTTCTTTGCTTGCGTGCTGTGCAATCTTGATTGTTGCTAATCCGCACTCTTGGTGGCTCAAGTGTCCCACTCAAGGCGCACAGGTTCGTGGTCGATACAATCGATCAGGCGGGACCGCTGTCTGAACTGTGAAGGGTGTGCCTGTATCAGAAATCATTGATACAGTTGCACTTGGACACATTTACTATCCAGACTCGTCGTGTACCGCTTCAGTCGTATCTTGCCCGCAGCAGCCCTTTCTCTTTGTTTGTGTGTACATTGTGTGTTGTGGTTGTCTGTGATCGGCTTGTTTGTTGCCTGCTTATTTGTTGGTGGCACTGGTGTGCCTGTCCACTTCTACTTGTTGCAAGGTGTTGCAATGTGCATCAGGACGAGGGCATTTTCGTCAGTGAGCTTGATTCTGCAATTGTTGTCTCCATGTGTCAGTTCGGGCGGATGGGCTTGGGTTGTAATATGTTCTGTGGGATCAGAGCACTACTGTTTTGAGCAAAGCAAATCCTTTGAATGTTTCTTTGCAGAGGTGACGCATATGGTCATCGTTCGCTACCAGTCGCCCGGGAGGCTCGCCAAGCGGAGTTGTCAAAGCGACTGCTCAGAGCCTGATGAGGCGCCTCCACCGGTATAGCGATCTTTCGAATTTAATGTGCAGATCTAGCACTCACCGTCAATACTTTGCTGCTGACACTGCTTGGTTGTTTGTTCGTGCAAACAAATACGAAGACGTCCGCTTCGTTGCTTCCTCTTCAGTAGTTTCCTCGTGACCTCGAGCTTAACCCTCTCGCATTCATCTCAGGCCACCCAGTCTTTTTCATGTGCCTTTCTTGTGAGTCTGCTGTAAAGTACGTTTGACTCTTGGATGCCACCACCATGTGTGCTATCTGCTCACTGACCGGGCCTTCGTGGATGTCTCAGTGGGACGGGCACCACCAGCTCTTCCGGCGTGGAGCGTCCCCGTGTGTGCTCCTCCCTCCCCCACCCACGCTCGGGGGCAACGATAGGGGGGGATAGGCATACTGGGTGGATGCATCGACCCCCAATCGCCCATTGTTCGCCGATAGGGGCCCGATGGCCCTAACCTGCACAGGCGGGTGCGGATTCACTATCGGCTGCCCATCGCCGCTCCATCGGCGACGCACCGCCGATTCCAGGTTGATGCGTCCCTCCCCCTGTGCCAGTCCCTCCCTGTCGTTGCCCCTCCCGCGCGCTCGCTCCATCCCTCTGCTCCTCTCTGCTCCGCGCCTGTGGCCTCGCCTCCCTCTGGAGGCCAGGGTGAGGCCCGTCCTGCGGCGGGGTGGCCGTCCACTCCCTGGCTGCGAGGCACCCGTGAGTCGTTCGGCGCCGCCTCCTTCTCGCCTCTTCCCCAGAGTTGCAGTCCTCCTCCTCCTCCTCGCCCTCCTCCACCTCCTCCTCCTCCTCCTCCTGCTCCTCCTCCTCCTCCTCCTCCTTCTCCTCCTCCCCCTCCCCCTCCCCCTCCCCCTCCCCCTCCGAGTTGCACCGGACAGACTCCTTCGACAGCATCTCCCATGAAGAGACTTCTGGCCTGCCTGGTGGGCCAAGCTTGTCGGGACGAAGCAGGCGGGCGGGCGCGCGGGCCCAAGACCAGATCTTGGTTGCTTTTCGCGGCTGTTTTGGGCTACTGGCCAGGACACCTCGTCCCCAGTCTGCTCGCGCGACTGGCAGAGGCAGATCGACTGGGCACCGCCTCAGGCCCAGGGACCCTCCCCCCTACCCCTCCCTTCGGCCAAATGCGACTCGGCTCTCCTCCCCCGTTCTCTCCTTCGCCAGCCGGCTTCCGCCCCCGTGGCGTTCGGCAGGATCAGGCCTCCACGCCGCGGGAGAAGTATTTCGAGAACCCCCGCCTTCAAGACGAGGCCGCCAGCAGGGTGGGGGAGGAGGAGGGAAGCTAGGGGAGGGGCGGAGGAGAATGGGGAGAGAAGGAAGAGGAGGGCGATGGACACGGGGAACAGGGGGGTGGGATGAGAGGGATTGGGGGGTGGGATGAGGGGGATTGGGAGGATGAGGAGGACGATGAGGCGGAGGAGGAGGAGGAGGAGGAGGAGGAGGAGGAGGAGGAGGAGGAGGAGGAGGAGGAGGAGGAGGAGGAGGAGGAGGGGGTGTCTCTTGGGTCCCTGGCCCGCTCTTCGAGGCTTCCTGGATGTTCTCGGAGGCCGTCGGAAGTAGTTAGGCTTGTGCGTCGCGCCGTGCGGGCGCGCGGCGCGGCGCGGGCTTCGGCGGAACAGACCGCCTTTGCGCCCGCACGCCTGAGGAGGAGGATGAGGAGGAGGAGGAGGAGGAGGAGGAGGGGACGATGGAGAGGAAAACGACATGAAGTAGAGGTGAGGAGGGAGGATGAGGATGGAGAGGAAGCGGAGAGGAGGGTGGGGGATAATGACGGTGACGATGGTGATATTGATCTTGATGCTGATGCTGATGCCGATGCTGATGCTGCTGCAGATGACAATGATCAGGTAAGGATGCCGACGGCGCTGATGATGATGATGCTGATGATGATGATGATGATGATGGCATTGATGAGGATAATCATGCTGTTGATGATCATAGGGTTGTAGGATTATGATGCTTATTGTGGTTGTGGTGGTGGTGATGATGAGGATGATGGTGGTGGTGATGATGCTGCTGATGATGCTATGATGGTGGTGTTGTTGGTGATTATGATGATTCGGATTATGATGTTGATGATGGTGGTGGTGGTGACGACGATGATGATGCCTCTGGTGATGATGATGATGATGATGATGATGATGATGATGATGATCCTATGGTTGTGTAGTTGGTGGTGGTGAGGATGATTCTGATGATGATGATGATGATGATGATGATGATGATGGTGGTAACGATGATGACGATGATGATGCTGCTGATGATGATGATGCTGAGGATGAGGATGCTGCTGCTGCTGCTGCTGATTTTGATGACGATTACGATGCTGCTGCTGATGATGATGTTGATGATGATGATGATGATGATGATGATGATGATGATGATGATGATGATGATGATGATGATGATGATGATGATGATGATGATGACGATGATGATGACGATGATGATGATGATGATGATGATGATGATGATGATGATGATGATGATGATGATGATGATGATGATGATGATGATGATGATGATGATGATGATGATGATTATGATGATGATGATGCTGATGGTGATGCTGATGCTGATGATGATGCTGATGATGATGATGATGATGATGATGATGATGATGATGATGATGATGATGATGACGATGACGATGAGGTCGATGATGATGGTGAGGAGGAGGTGGAGGAGGAGGAGGAGGAGCAGGAAAATACCTAGTTGAGTGTAGTTGATCTGGCGCGCACTTCTGCGATTTGTCGTGCGAGTCCGTTCCTTCACTCCTCTTGCTGCCCGTTGCCCCTGCCCTTGCCTCGCTCTGCCCATGCCTCCCCTTTCTCTCCCTCCCTCAGTGTCCCTTTCGTCCTTCCCTCCACTACCCCCTCTCCGCCCATTTCGTCGGAGAAAGATCCGAGGTCGTGAGAGCAGTCGCACAGAGTCGTGGAAGGTCAGCACGACTGGAGCCACCGATCCCCTGAGAATGTCAACCATCTTCTCTCGCGATGCTCTGATCTCAGGGAAGTGTTGGATTACTCAGGTTTGGCGAGGGATTGCCTGCCTGCCCCGAGTACCGCCAGAATCAGATCCATGTTCTTTCCTGTTAGGCTTTCGTAGGGTTGGCTTAAACCCTATCCTAGGGACCCCGGTTTCCATTAGTTTTGTTTTGTTCTCTTTCGCCCTCCCTTTTTTCCAAACGACTTATCCTTGTACTGTCAAATGTGCAAGACTGCCTGCGCGGACACATCGCTCCCTGGGAGTCACATGGTCCTGTCGCGGGGGTGCTGTCGTGGTGTCCGCTCGTTGCGTTCTCTCGTGCCCGCTCGGGGATGGTGCGTCCCAGGTCACGCGCAGTGGTGCGTAACAGACCCCTTCCAGGTGTGTTCCGCGTGTGCCTGCTCGAGAATGGTGCGTCCCAGTCCCACACGATGGTGCGTAGCGAACCTTTTCGGGTGCGCTCTGTGCGTGCCCGCTGGAGGATGGCCGTCCGGGGTCACGACAGGGGTGCGCCACTTCAGTGTCCACCGGGTCAAGTATCAATCGTAGCTTCAATCCTTTATCATGAGTAACACCACTATCACGATCATTGTTTTTTATGGTTGTTTGAGTTGTTCTTATTACTGCTATTATCAGAGTGAGCGGGGCTGGACGGTCTTACAGTGTCTCTCGGTGCGTGGCTGAAGTCGGGATCCGCGGTGAGAATTCCGCCTGCTGTTATACATTCGTAAACCATACATCCGCACACCGTACATCAGAGTTGCCAGGACACATGTTCCTCACCCCCCTGGAACCCCGAACTTTCGTATCCTCAGGGTGTGATTATCGGAGGCAGTCGGTTCGTAACCCAGATTTTGGCAGCGGCATATCTCATCTTCTTGGCCCACAGGTCGAGACAGTGTTGCATGGGAACTGGACTCTCTCATGTCCAGGTTCCTCAGGTAGCAGGGACGTGATATTTTAGTCATTCCTCGTCGCTAAGGCGCGGTGGAGAAAGTGTGATAGATCGCCGAGGACTCTTACCATTCCAGGTCTCCCAGGTCCAGAGAGTGCGGGAGGCTCATCGGATTTTCTCCATTCTAGGTCTAGCAGAGAGTGTGCCAGGGGCACGGATTCTCACCATCCCAGGCCCCCCCCCAGTCCACAATCTCCACCTCAAGTGTATCGAAATGACTGGAGCTTGCGAGATCCGCCTTGAACTCGAGCATCCTGTGATTAGGACGCTTTGCTGGGACTTTTGAAAGTGCTGTGACCTCGAAATGGGTCTCCAGGTGGCCAAACAAGGGAGAAGCTGGCCGTCTCGACATTGTTTGCGTGACGAGAGAGTTACGCGGAGAAGCTCGGCGCGCCCATAGGAAACGACTGAAACCACGAAGCTTGTCGCAACTTGCGATTTGCGAGTTAAGTCGCCACGACCCTGGTGCAATCGCTGGCCGCATACGACTTGACTCGCCAGTCACGTCGACAAAACGCATGCGCCAATCCAGCACCTCCACAGCATTACCAAATGTCTCAATTGGCGAGTTGAGCCACAATTGCCCTGCTAGCTTCGGACATTTCTAGCCCGCTGCAGAATCCCACGGCGTATCTTTCCAGATCAGTCAGCGCCTCGAGATCACCATATCCGAGCGGCAGAAATTGACGCCCGAGACTCAGTGAGAGGCGTGAATCCTCAATGCGTCGTTAGCTGCCGGTCAGCTCGGACATCTGCTCCCGATCTGTGTGCGAGCTGCAGAGCTCTCGACATATGATGCTCCAACCTACTTTAGCCTTGACCTCCAGAAAGAATTCTGAGCACCGAGAAAGTACCGAACCTGGGGTTTTTTACGTGTCGGGCCCTGGGAGGCGATACTCGCTCGACTCTGTTTCGATTTTTTTGTTGGGTGCTCGACACTGTTTTTGGGATGTGGTCGTTCAGTGCGATGGCAACAGCACAACTCTCGACCTGAAGCCGACTTCGGCCTCGACCTCAAACAACCCTTCGGCCTCGGCCTCGGCCTCGGCTCCGGCCTCGAGGGCGCTGGCCGCGTGCCAGCTGGCCGCCTCCGAAGCGCGGCCCGAGCCTCAGGAGCGTGGCGTGCCGAGCCTCCACCGCGGGTGGCGCACGCCGGACCCCTCGCCGCTGCGCAACGAAGGCGCCCCCCGCCGCTCGCCCTGGGGTCGGGCGGGGCACGGGGCACGGGGCGGCGCCCTCGTGGTCGCCCCGGCGGTCGCGCTCGCCGTCGTCCTCGAGGAGGAGGAGGCGGAGGAGCATGATGGAAAAGATGATGACGATGAGGTTGATGATGGTGATGATGATGCTGATGATGATGATGATGACGATGACGATCATGGTGGTGGTGGTGGTGCTGGTGGTGGTGTTGGTGGTTGTGTCGGTGGTGATGATGATGATGGTTGTGGTGGTGTTGATGATGAGGATGATGATGATGATGATGGTGATGATGGTAGTGGTCGGTGTGGTGGTGATGTTGATGATTGTTGTGTTGGTTTGTTGACGATGAGGTTGATGATGGTGAATCTGATGACGACGATGACGATGATGGTGGTGTTGGTGGTGGTTGTGGCGGTGCTGGTGATGATTGTGGTGGTGGTGATGATGATGGTTGTGGTGTTGGTGGTGGTGGTGTTGGTGATGATGATGATAATGATGATGATGATGATGATGAGGATGATGGTGATGATGGTGGTTGCGGTGATATTGATGATGGTGGTGATGATTAGGATGATGACGACGATGACGATGACGATGACGATTATGGTGGTGGTGGTGGTGGTGGTGCTGGTTGTGGTGGTGATACTGATTATGGTTGTTGTGGTGTTGATGATGATGATGGTGGTGGTGGTGGTGCTGGTGATGATGATAGTAATGATGATGATGATGACGATGATGGTGATGAGAGTGATGGTGATGATGGTAGTGGTGCTGGTGGTGGTGATGGTGGTGATGATGATGATGATGACGATTATGATGATGATGCTGATGATGATGATTATGGTGGTGGTGGTGGTGGTTGTGGTGGTGGTGATGATGGTTGTGGTAGTGATGATGATGATGATGATGATGATGATGATGATGATGATGATGATGATGATGATGATGATGTTGGTAGTGGTGGTGGTGGTGGTGATGTTGATGAGTGTTGTGGTGGTCATGATGGCGATGAGGTTGATGATTGTGAAGCTGATGATGATGTCGAGGATGATGATGATGATGGTGGTGGTGGCGGTGGTTGTGGTGGTGCTGGTCATGATGGTGGTGGTGTTGATGGTGGTAATTGTGGCGGTGGTGGTGGTGCTGGTGATGATGATGATGATGAGGATGATGGTGATGATGGTTGTGGTGATGATTATGATGGTGGTGGTGATGATGATAATGATGAGGTTGATGATGATGATGATGATGATGATGACGATGACGATGATGATTATGGCGGTGATGGTGGTGCTGGTGGTGGTGGTGGCTTTGGTGGTGATGCTGATGCTGGTTGTGGTGGTGGTGGGGATGATGATGATGGTGCTAGTGGTGGTGATGATGATGAAGATGATAGTGATGATGGTAGTTGTGCTGGTGTTGGTGATGGTGGTGATGATGATGATGGTTTTGGTGGTGATTAGGATGATGAGGTTGGTGGTGATGAAGATGATGCTGATGATGCTGCTGCTGATGATGCTGATGATGACGATAACGATAATGGTGGTGGTGGTGGTTTTGATGGTGATGACGATGACGATGATGGTGGTGGTGGTGGTGCTGGTTGTGGTTGTGCTGGTGGTGATGGTGGTGCCGGTGATGATGATGATGGTAATTACTGTTGTGGTGGTGGTGCTGGTGATGATGATGATGCTGATGATGATCATGATTATGAGGATGATGTTGTTGATGATGGTGGTGGTGGTGGTGACGGTTGTGGTGGTGATTACGATGCTGGTGGTGACGATTGTGGTTGTTTAATGTTTATGGTGGTTCTGGTGATGATTTTGGTGGGGGCGATAATGATGACGATGATGATGATGATGATGATGATGATGATGATGAGGTTGTTATTGTTGTTGTTGGTGATGATGCTGATCATGGAGGTGATGATGATGCTGCTGATGATGATGACGATACCGATCATGGTGGTGGTGATGATGGTGATGACGATGACAATGATGGTGATGATGATTGTGTCGGTGGTGGGGGTGCTGCTGGTGATGGTGGTGGTGCTGGTGATGATGATGATGATGGTGGTGGCGGTTGTGGTGGTGGTGCTGGTGATGATGATCATCATGATGATGAGGATGATGTTGATGATGGTGGTGGTGGTGAAGATTTTGGTGGTTTGATGATGGTGGTGGTGGTGACGATTGTGGTGGTTTGATGATGGTGGTGGTGGTGATTTTTGTGGTGGCGATGATGATGAGGATGATGAGGTTGTTATTGTTGTTGTTGGTGATGATGCTGATCATGGTGGTGATGATGATGCTGATGACGACGAGAAGATGGGTGATGAATATTCTGATGCTGATGCTGATAACGAGGATGATGATGGTAGTGGTGGTAATGTTAATGGTAATGATCGTAGGATGGTGGTGATGATGAGGAGGAGGCGGAGGAGGAGGATGAGGAGGAGGAGGAGGAGGAGGAGGAGGAGGAAGGAGAGATGAGGAAGGAGTCGAGAAGAGGAGGAGGAGGGAGGAGGAGGACGAGGAAGAAAAGGACGATCATGAGGAGCAGCAGGAGTATGAGGACCAGCCGACATCCGCACTGAGCAGTGCCGTTTTTGTAGAAGGAAGAGGATAAGCTACGCTCCTATGCCAGGGTACGGCACTTTGCTACCTAGTCAGCATCTTCACACTCGACTGGCCAGCTTCTAAGTTGCACGGCGCCCTGGAAGATGATGGTTGGCGAGCTGCTGAAGTGGATTGTATGGATCTCGCGCTGTCGGCGCTGCTCCAGGCAGCCGCTGATGCCCCGCACTTCTGCAGTCTGCCCCGTTCAGACTGTGGGTTACAGTGGAGATCCATGCCAAGAAACACCCTGTTTGCCTCCAGGATGCCCTGGGTTTCTTGGGTTTCGATGGTTTGCCACGGAAGGCGCGGCGTTCCCACACCAAAAACCAATTGCTGGGGTCTCAGGGTTGGGTTTCTTGTGGACTGGCCTCCACTGTATGCAGGAACTGTGGGGAATACTTGGGCTCAGCCATTTGGGTCTCGCAGCCACTGTCTCGAGTCAGGTGACTTGGCGGGCCTGGCGGAGGCCGGAACTGCGGCTGGCCGCCCAGCCTCCGCGTGCTGCCGTGCCGCGCGCTCGGGCCGGCGGTCCACGGCTGGGGTCGCAGTGCTGGCAACGGGCCGCTGCTCTGCTGGTTGGCGTGGCCCTCTGGACTCCAGGCGGGTGCCGCCTTGGGGGAGGGACCTGCGCTGCGCGGACACCTCTGCCGCTTCCGCGTGCAGGGGCGGCTGCATCTCGCTTGCCTTGGTCGCGGCGGCCAGTGATGCCGCCTGCCTGGCCGGCGTGGTTGGGGTTCGTGGGGCCCCGCAGGGGGGCATTGCGGTGGGCGCCTCACGCCATGCGGCCGTCTGGTCTGCGTGGTGTTCGTCTGCGGGCGCCGTCTGCAGTGCCCTGGCTGCGTCGTGGCGGCGGTCGCCGCGCTCGCGCGCGGGGGCTGCGTTCCGATTGCTAGCAGCGAGCGAAGGGGGGAAGTGAAAAGGAGAAGGCCTTCTCGGAAGGTTCGGAAGTTCCCCGGAAGGCACAAAACCTCTGGTGAGGCGCGAGGGCTTCCGAGGAGTCCTGCCGCCTTCTCAGAGGGCCCTCTCCTTCTCACTTCCCCCCTCGCTTGCCGCCAGACTTCTGCTGGCCGCAGGTCTGCTGGGACCTGCCGCGACTCCGCGGAGCGGGGCCGATGCCGTGCCTCTCGTGGCCCTGCGCCCGCGTCGCCCCGGAGAGGCCTAGGGCCGCCCGCGGGAGCACCGGCAGTGCTCCAGGGGCCGTCGCTGGCCGGCTCCAGGGCTGGCCCATCCTCCCTGCAGGCGCGCGACGCGACCCCTTTGGTTTCGGTGGCCAATCGTGGGGGCCTGGTATGCCCTCTTGAGTCAAATTCCGTCTTTGGCGCCGACTAGCGTCGATTAGCGTCTGGGAGTCGACGAGATGCGCCGCTAGTGTGCTCGATTTAGCGTCGATTCCTCGACTTAGCGTTTATTTCGCGTCACTTAGTGCCGACCAGCGTCGGTTAGCGTCGATTCGCAAGAGCCAGCAAGAGGGTATTTGCATGGGGGACTCCCAGGAGTTGCCACCGAACTTGGTGTCCGGCGTCGCGCAAGCGACCGAAGAATGAACGTGGCCGAGGGGCACCCCCCGACGCTCCTTTCGCCCTCCTTGCGTGCCGCGCTGGGCGAGGTGGGCGCGGAGGAGGAAGCGCGAGTGGGTAGCTCTCAGCACTGGAGGCTCCCGCCAAGGTCCAGCCGCGCGGGAGGTGGCCACGCGCGCAGGCACGGCGCTCGCGCGGAGACGTGGCCGGGGATGCCTACACGGAGCCTCGGGGGCCCCGTGCCCTGGCGGGCGCGGCCCGGGACTCGCTTGGCGCTGGGCTGTCGGGCCCGACGTCCGGCAACCGCCCGCTGGCGTGCCCGGCCACGCCGTCTTCCGGCGCTCCCTGCCCGGGTGCTGGACCGGACCTGGGCTCCGGCGGTCCAGCCCTGGGCTGCCGGGGCTCGTTGTTTTTCTTGCCACTGCCGCACCGCCCCCCCGCTTTGCGGGCGTGGCCTGCGCCTTGGCGGCGCCAGGTCTGGCCGGGCCTGCCGCCGGGACGTCCTCTCGGGCCTCGCTGCAGGCTCGGCGTGGCGCGCCCCGTCGTGCGGGCGAGCTCTCTCGCTCGCTGCTCGGCTGCCGCCCTCGCCTTCCTGGACGGCTTGGGGGCCGCTCCGCGTGCCTGGAGGGCGCCCCGGAGCTGCAGTCCTTGGCGCCTCGTGGCACCGGCCCGGCAGGGCCGGCCTGCCCGGCCGTCGGTGCGCGTGGCCGCGTCTTGCACGACGCCAGCATCTTCCCCGTGCACGTCTTGTCTCTATTGCTCCTCTTCTTCCTCCTCCCTCCCTCTGGTGTTGTGCGGTGCACACGCGCGCACGCAACGACTACAGTCTGCCCCCCTGCAGGCTG